GGCCGTTTCATGGGTCAAATAAATTACCAAAGTTCATGACTCGAGTTTGAAAAACCCATGTTTCACAAGGGAATTTTAGTAACTTCGAGCTACCGTATCTTGGTGCTCAAAACCCCGTTTCTCGTTCCGTTTGTTTTGTTATACTCTTGGATTACAACACTAATAGAGTTAAAATTTCAAAAGCTAGTTCCAAACAAGTGAATTTTGCCGAAATTCCAAAGTTGGCAAAAAACCAACTTAAATCTGCCTTACGAACCAAACAGTAACTTTGAGCCCATTTTTGACTATCTTCCATTTAGAATCATGGAAAAGTGTATTCTAGGGACTTTTAGTACTTTCAAAGAGGTTTCGAATAGTACCAAGTTTTCCAATTTTGGGCTTGTAGAGAGTAAGATATGATTTTTCAAAGATTACTTGTTAAATCTGGAATTTTCTAACTTAAAGGAAACTAAGGAGTTTCGAACTCTTCATTTCTTTCAATATCATTTGATTGTTTTACATTTGAATCCAAAGATGGAAATCAGATTTGTCTTGTGTTTTAAAACCCCACTTTTGAACCTCGAGTTACACGAATTCTAGGCTCGTCTCCGCGTTAATTTCTTAGATTGCACTAGTGTACAATCTTCATCGAAAACTAGAGAATTCGTAGCGATATTGAGTGGTACTTGAATTATTGTTTGCTCAGGCAATCGAGGAGATCCCCAAGAGGAACTCGGAGCGGACGCCTAAAACGCTTGTTTGAGACCTATTGCGCTTGTTTGACTAGGTGAGTGTTCCATATAGGAATACGTAATGGAATAAGTCTAGGACATGCTCATTTCATGATTTCTAAGTATTAAGTACTATGTGTTAAATATTTACCATACTCATGCTTGAAAATGCTCGAATAACATGACTTGGTATGCTATGGTTGCATACGTCGTTGGAGTGAATCTCCTCGACTCTCACATGGTAAAAATGGGATAACGGCCAATGATGGCCTATTAATATGGCAAATGCCTGCCAAATAACCGTCATTACTCAACCGTCAACCATTAACCGTTTACCAACCCACATGACTACCTGATTACCTGACTATTTGCTCACATGATTTCTAATCTATATGATTATTCGATATCCGTGAATTACATGCTCCCATGAAATCAACTTGTATTGCTTACGTGCTTACATGCTAAGTATCCACTTGATTACTTGATTATCATGAATCACATGTTATATGAAGTTGTCCATCATTATTAGGCGAGTGTGTGACAGCCCCACCTTCCCCTAAGGCGAACCAAAGAGGTTAGCGGACTGCTTGCCCAGCTCTCGCCAGGACTAACGGTGCAGTATAGAGCGATCTTTCACATTCCGGAACTTATAACGCGCGCAAATAAGGCAAAAGGGCAAAATAACCCAAAATAAAAGAAAATGAAATCCGGAGTCGGCCATGAATAGTAACCGACTCGTCCGTACCCAACCAAACATCGAATTACATATACCACATAACATTTAGCCTTTACAAACCAAAATGACGTTTAAAAGTGATACAAAAGTCACTACATATATGGTTTGCCAAAACAAAAGTGAAAACGGCCCTAATGATACATTTAGGGTCCCATTTTATATACAATACAAAAGAGTCATTCATCTAGTTCATTCGGCAACCATTTATCAAAATTCATTCCAAAAGAGTCATATTCCTGTAAGGAAAACAAAAGGAACGGGGTGAGCTAATTGCCCAGTGAGAATACAACTCAAGCAACCAAGTTCATGGATACATCAAGCTTAATAGTTCAATTTACCAAAATAAATAAAGCCACACATTAATAATGAGGATAAAAGGATACGGGTGGCTCTCAAGAGCCCTTTTCCTCGTTTGAATTCTTGATCAGGTCTCATTGACTCTCCGTCAATATCTGAAAGGTAACCAACCGTAGACTCCTCTTAACTTCCATTCCCTTCCTCCTAACATTCCTCAACCGGGCCCGAAATCCAAACACTTACATTGTGGTATTACTCGAGTAAACCGGAATCAAGAGTCTCTCATACTACAAGATTCCCTATGATGTTGCCCAAGGCACATTAATTGGCACGACCAAGCCCTCGCCGGCTCGATTCAATCAATAACCAATGGGGTTGAGCTCATGGATAATATTTGAAGTCATGTATTTCATTTCATATAACATTTCATATAACATTTCATATAACTTTCCAATAACATGCGAAACAATAAGTGAAAGTGATAAAGTACACTCTCACTTGGATCAATCAACATTCAACATCTCAAGTACAAAGATCAAAGCCATGTAATAGCACATAAGTGAGTAGTACACTCACCAAGCTAGCACAATGTGGTTTCAAACACTTTAGTCAAAAGAACTTTGTGCACCACCGTCACGCCCTAAAAACATGCAAACAAATACAATGAGACTCGATAACGAGTCATAAACCAAGGCCAAACATGACCCAATAAGGTTCCATAAACATTTACAAACAATAGAGGAAACCAGAAATTTCGGAAATGTAACTAGCATTGGCCCGGAAAAATACAGTTTTGACGTCATTTTGCGGTAATGGCACAACTCTCACTACAATTATCGGATGGGGGTGTAAGACCCACCATTTCGAATCCAAGAAACAGAGCTACAACAATGTAGAAGGTCACTCAATCCAGTTCCTAACACAACTAGGTCAAATATGCAAAATACTATACCAGAATTCCCAAAACAGGTTTGCAAATCACACAAAACTGTAATTACTATAACTCAGTCTATACAAGTCCAAATGCCGAAATTCCAAAAGCATAAGTTAGCTAAGACATCCAGCTACATTTCATCAGAAGACACCAACTCCAAAATCCAAACCAATTCCAGTCAAAATGGCCAATTACTATCGCAGTTTTCGCATTCTGATCAAAGCAGAACAGCTACAGTAATTTCGTCATATCTCACTCTACACTAATCCAAATGACCTGAAATTTTGTAGGCACCTTTAAAATGTCATTCCCTACAACTTTCATGTTTTGAGCTAAGGCCAATTCGGCCTCTATCTAGTACCTAAAAATTCGGACAGAATGTACCCTTATGAACCCTAGATTTTCCAATTTTCTTCCAAAACAGAAATTGGTTGCAATTAATCACTTTTCCCACCTCCTTAAGTCATTATAGATCATTTCCATACATCATAGAGAGCCACACCATCATGCTTGAATTAAAACAGAAAATTCCCAAAAATAATAAAAGGTCATCAATTCAACCACAAATCAAGAATTAATCCATAAACTTGCATCTTCTACTTCACTAAGCATGATTTGAGCATCAATTAAAGAAGGAGGGTGGTTCTTCACAACTTACCTTTAAAACAAGAGAGAAAGAGCTATGGGTCACCTTAACCTTCCAAATAACTTCACACAACAACTCACCACCACTACTTGAAGGTGTTTTATGGAGAAAAATCAAGGTTGGATGGTTGGTTTTGATGATTGAAGCAAGATTGAAGCCAAAACTTGAAGAGGTTTTCTTTATTCCTTTGAGAGAGAGGGCCGGCACTTGAGAGGAGAAAATGGTGCAATTTTTGGTTAATTTTGTGATTTATTTGGTCAATGGTAAGACATGGAATAGTAGTCTTAAAGGTAACCCAATCAAATGGTGACACTTGTCACCCAATTTAATGCAAGTCTATCACTTTGTTCCCTCTCACATCAATCCAAATAGCTTCCTCTAATTATCTCTTAACACCGATAAAATAATTCCAGTATCCAAAACTTAATCTAGTTGGCCGAATTTTTCCGGACTTTTCGCACTAGTGGGTCCCACGTCCGGTATCTGCTCTTAATTTCTCAAATCTATTCGATACTAGAAAAATCATCTAAAAATTATATCTGCTCCTTAAATTTATCTAGAAAAATTTTCGCATCACGAAAATGCAGAAAACAAGTCATGAAAAATAATAAAACTTAGAAAATGAAAATTACGGGTTCTCACAGAGTGTGTACTTTACCTCACTCGACCTATTCAAATGATGAATTTTACTTTTTGTCGAATTACTTGGTTACCTGTGCATGTTGTAAGATAAGCTGAACTTGGGCCCTGCCTCGGTTACTGACCTACTCTAGCCAGGACTGGGCTCGGTCGGATAGGTTGGAACCCTGGACAACCGTTTCGGTATACTCGAGTACTACCACTGGAGGGATAAGGTGATGGCCAGTCAATCGAAGGAGTTGCCACTTGAGGGGGAGTGTTGAATATACCTAGATCCGTGTGATATATTATACATCAATTATAGGGATTAGATAGCCTGATTATTAGCCTGATTATCCTAGTCTAATTATAGGAAGTAGATAGCTAATTATTCTAGCTTGATTTTAGGATCTAGATTATTTCAATCTTGTATATATATGTCAGTTGTACTACTCACACAAATATGAGAACAAATGTTATCCCAAAACATCTTCCTCTCTTGCTTCTTCTCTTATAGCAGTTAACTCCGTTCTATACATATCCGGAGTTGGTGACACAAGGGCAAGCCTTTAAGAGGCTTTGATTGGTACTACTAGGATCAAATACACACAAGACCATCTTTCGAAACTCAGACTAGTTATTGGGTAAGTTTGTAAGTTTACGATTTGAATGAGGTTACCTCTCTTTAGATTTACGATATTTGTCCCCTAGTCCAACTACTTGAACAAGTAGGTTCTGTGACGCCTTTGTTGCTATCCGGAACTTAACAAATGGAGAGGAATTTTTTTTAACCTCTTTACCGCTGACTTGGAAATTTGGATTTTATTATAGGGAACAGACAATGTTGCTTTCATTTTTCAAAAAATAGATATAATTGTTGTCCAATTTATGTTCTAATTTTCAAATTTTTGTTCGTAGAAGAGGCCATTTCATTTTCTTTGGGTTTATTTTATTATCAATTGATGAAATTGAACTTAAGTCCTCTCTTGTACTATATACTGGAATTGCATGCATATGGAGGAGGCCCGTTATTGCAGGCTCATTAGTGTTGCTACAAGTACATTACACTTGATAAAAGTGAAGTGATTTAACTATTATATTGTTGCAATGTCATAATGATTCAAGGTTTTTTTTACAACTATGAGCATGAGAACGTATACCTACTATGTGCTCTGATCAAGTGCAGCCGTTGGAGCACTACTAGTCCTTATGGAGCTTGGTGCGCACATATTTTTCAAAGTTGTAATCCTAATCTTTAATTCAAACAAGAATCATATGTACTAATTACTTGCCTCTTCATTTATTCTATGTAGGTGGAATGCTGAATTCGATCTACACAGGATTGCACAACATGTCCTACCTATATTTCGAGATCAGTTGATAGGCTTGCGTCCTGAAGAGGTATTATAATTATACTGTGACTTTGTTCTTAGACTTTGCCAGTGTACTGACCAAGCTAATAAAATATACAAACTTGTTCGAATAGCCTAACGGTATTTGATTCTCGCAAGATTGTGTTTGTTGGCAGGGAGTTTCCCTCCAGCTATAAGGCAGATTCTGTGGAACTTTTTTACAAAAAATTTGTAAAATATTAGAAATATGCCCAAAACTTATTATCTTTATTTCATTCGACAAAGTTGAGTGATGTATATGATAATTTGCCTACAGATGACACCGTAGAGTCCGATCACCAGGACCCACCAGCCAAACTGGATTCGATGAGGGTCATAGGCTACTGAGCACCATGTTGGCGCATCTACTCTAATCATACTTCAGACTCAATTCATGCAAGAGCACACTACATCCATTGGGCAATCTAGGTCCCCAGTTATTTTTTCGGAGTTTACATCTGGTGGGGACTTACATCATGATAGTTCTGAACAACATGCAGAATGTACAAATGAAGATTAGAGCATCAAAAATCGTGATGCTACACTAGAGTCATAGATTACTCAAGTCAGTACAGTAATGCTAGACCTGCCATGTCAAACACAAAGAATACGTAAACGTAGTGGATGTGGTACTCTTTAAAAATTTGGAGAGCATTGATAACACACTAATGATGTAGTTGTTGTATAAATTACATAAATCAGAATTACGAACTTTTTCATGTCATTTTCCGTTTATATGACATTTACTTCCACGAATGCTAGTACAACAATTTAATTAGGCATGTCTTATTTCTCATTTCATATGGGTACTCCTTTATACAAATCCAAAAACGTTCATAAAATTATAAAGAAATGCTCTATTTCCATAAATAAAAATAATATAAAAAGGGGTAAAATACACTAACCTCTCTTCTAGTTAATACAAAAAGTTAGGTACTTCCTCTCGTCATTTCAAAATAACACAGACCTGCTACCTATGATATACTTCCTTTGTCGAATATTAGAGTCATTTTTTGAAAATCCAACTTTTTATGAAGATATGATAATCATTATGTCCAGATGAAATGACATTAGTAAATTAACAAAAGTGTCATTTAAATTCAAAATATTTTCTTGATAGATGTGTATGAGGATTTTAAAAAGTTGCTTTTTCAAATGGCAAGATTCGAAAGCATGCGTTAAATTTGAAATGGTGACTCTTATTTTAAAACATCAATAAAGTGAAAATATGAAAATAACACTGGGACAGAGGGAGTATTTAAATGTATAATTTTATCCTTTACCTTTTTTACTCATATTTTTCCTACTAAACATAAGAAAAAAGATTTAATACTCTCCTAGAAGAAAGTAAATTAATACTCTCCTAACATATTAACAAATTTATTTTAACTTTTTTATTTTGACTTATGAAAATATGGAAGCATACATGTGTAATTATTTCTTTACAAAAATTTATTAAAATAAAATGAGGTGTTTCCAACCCTATAATTATCAAATCTTTTAATATAGAAGAAGTATACATGTGTAGTTATTTCTGTACAAAGAATTATTTTGAATACAAATTTTTTGGGAGCTCGCATTTGCTAACTGCGAGCTCATGTGAGCTTTAAAAGTAAAAAAAAAAATATTTAATTTCTTTGCTAAAAAAGATTTTTAAATAAGATTTCTCTGGGAGCTCACTTTTGATAAATACGAGAGCCAAAATAAAAATGATTGCAAGTTCTAAAATTAAATAAAATTTTCTAAGAGATCGCATTTATCAAATGCGAGCTCCAAAATAAAAATGATTTTCTAAATTTTCTAAGAATAAAAAAGATTTTTTAAATAAAATTTTCCTAGAGCTCGCAATTATCAAATGCGAGTTCCAAATATAAATGATTTTTAAATCGTATGTTTTGCAAGCTTGTATTTACTAAATGCAAGCTGTATAATAAGAAAAGATTTGAAATAAAATTTTACTCTATGTGCTCGCATTTACTAAATGAGAGCTCAAAATTAAAAAATAATTTTAAACAAAATTTTTTGGGCTCCAAAATAAAAATAATTTTTTAAACCCATTTCTCAGTTAAGATCGCATATTACTGGTCAGAACTCCACACCAAAATCACCCCTTTTGCATAAATGATTTTGAAGGGAAAATTATTCAACATATCTCTCACATTTTGTAAAACGACTTTTTTATCTCTCACTTTTAAAAGTGTAATTTTATGTCTTTTACAAATTTACATTAGTCAAATTTGGTTCCTATCTAGGTTTTCAACTAGTTTTTGGTCGAAATCCACTATATGCCTTGCATGTGATTATTTTTAGGGATAAAATTGTCAAATCACATTTCACATAATTTGATCCGTAGTCCTTCATATTTCATAAAATGAATTTATTCATCCCTTACATTTTACAAAATAAAATTTTTCGCCCTTGACATTTCATAAAAAAAAAAATTCATCCCTCATTATTCATGTATACGAATAGTTTTTTTTCTGTTTTTGAAAATCCATATATATGTCTATTTGATTTCATTTTAACAGTACAAATAGCATGTAATATATGTATATTTGATTTCACCTACAACTACAATATGTTTGTTCAAGTGAAATCAAATACACATATATTACATGTTATTCATACTATTCAGGTGAAATCAAATTGATATATATGGGTTTAAAAAAAATTATTTGTACACATGATCAATGAGAGATGAAAAAATTCATTTTGTGAAATGTGAGAGACGAAAAAATTTATTTTATGAAATACGAGAGACTATAGATCGAATTACGTAAAATTTGATTTGACAATTTTGTCTCTCAAAAATGATCACGTGCATGGCATGTGGTGGATTCCAGTAAAAAACTAATCGGAAACATAGGTAGGGATCAAATTTAGCCAATATAAATTTGTAAGGAACATAGAATTATACTTTTAAAAGTGAGGGACAAAAAAATTATTTTACAAAATGTGAGGAATGTTTTGAATGATTTTTCCATTTTGAAATTCATCATAAACTTGGAAATTTCTCTCAACGCAACAACCTAAACCAACTTTGTTCTGGGTTTTGCATTTGCTTTCCTTTCTCCTAATTCTTTCATGTTGAGGGCTAAGCTTTTCTCATCTGTTGACAATTATGTTTGTCTTTGTTTATTTGTGTGTTTCATGGTGGCTATGAGAGGCTGAGGTCATAGTAAAATGTTGAATGTGGTGTGGAGCTTAAAGTTGGGCTGGAATTTGGATTTTATGTATCTAAGAACCAATCTCATGAAGATTTTGATTGACAACTGCTAGCCGAGTTTTGGCTTCTAACAGTAGGTTATATCTTGATTTTCTTGTTAGACTTGGGCTTTTTGGCTCTATATTGTGGCAGTTTGAGGGTATCGGCACTGTTGTTTCTAAAGATTTAGGGGAGTGTTGTCACATGTGTAACGCGCCAAGTCCACAGGGTGATTCAAGTGACTGTTGAACTGAAACTACCGATTTAAAATGGGAAATCTAAGTTATTCAGTTGCCCATGGGTCAGAGGTAATATACTCTTCCTTTCTCCTCTTCCGTCCCAATGTGGGACATTTAAAATTTTCCATTCCCATCCAATGTGGCATTTAGTCTTGTAGGCTCTAGAGGTGGCTCCCATCGAATGTGGCGCTTAGCCTAGCATAGAATTTAACTATTTCATACTTCCTTGTGTAGTTGTGACATTTAGTCCCATGAGTTCTAGAGGTGACCCTCATCGAATGTAGCACTTAACCCTTGTCCAATGTGATACTTAGTTCCACAAGTTATAGAGGTGACTCCCATCGAATGTGGCACTTAGCCCCGCACAGTACTTAACTCCTTTGTACTTCCTTGCATGATCATAACCATAGCACAACTTTGTTCTTTCGCACTTCCTTGCATAGTCAAAACTATAACACCACTAATCATAGAGGTGGCTCTCGTCTAATGTGGCACTTAGAAGTAGTTGGAACCATAACACCACTGGCTTTAGAGATTGCTCTCGTCCAATGTGGCATTTAGTCTTGTAGGTTCTAGTGGCGACCCTTATCGTATACGACACCTGTAGACACCAAATTTTTGTCATTTTTAATATTTTCATAAATTTTTCTATTTAATGAGTTATTTATTTTCTTACATTTTAATGTGTATTTTTCTCATTTTTGTAGGTTTATTTTAGGAAAAAGAAAAACAAACAAACAAAAAAAAAGAAAGAAGAAAATCAAGAAATCAAAAATCATCCTAATCATTTTTGTTTCACCAAAACCACTATTAACCCATTTTTACGCTCCATCCTCATTTGACCTTTCTTCTCATTTTGGTAAAAATCCATCATGTTATTTCATGCATATTTTTTGTCATTTGGAAAACCATCATTTTGACTAACCAAACACACAAACTCCACTTTTGGCTCCCAATATACATCTCTCGGCTCTCTCCCTCACAAGACAAGACAAGCCAAAAAAAAGAAAACACTCCACTCTTCCTGCCTCAAAAACTCTCTCTTGGCCTTGGCTGATTTCTCTCAACGGGCAGAGGACAAAAATAGAGGAGAAGAAAAAAAAAGGGAATGCTCCACTCTCTCCCCACTTCGGCCTTTCCTGGAGCTCCCAACAAAAAACACTGACAGAGGAAAGAAAAGAGGGCTCTCAGTTGAGAGCTTCTTCCGGGCTTCCAGACGAAAGCCACAGATGAAAAAAGGGGAAGCTTGGGAGCTTGCTACTAGTGCCATTACCACCACCACTGCCATAATAATCTCCATTGTAAAACCATTGTAAGTCTTTCCTTTTATTTTTTGTTTTGATTCCAACGAGATAGCTCCTGGAAATTTGGCAAAGATTTAGTTGATCCTTATTTTAATGCAAACTGATTCGATTTTTTTTTCTTCTTTTCTTCGACTTTGATGATCAATAATTTTGTGGGTTTTGTGAAATAAATTGGTTGCTGGTGTTGTTGTATTTTTTCGGAATAAGCCATGAACAAAAATTAAGAAAAGAGAAATGGCATTGTAAATGCCTTGTTTGTGTTTGATAAAATGCCACAATGAAAATATGAGTTAAGTTAGTGAATATTTTTTGCATATTTTCGTCAAAATAGGTGATTGTAGCTGGCACAAGGTTCGAAAATGTTGAATTATCTAAAATTTTTGGAGTTTTGAGCTTTACAGGCATTGAAGTGTTTTTCTTCATTTAGGGGCTGTTTTTGCTTTAATTTAGGCTTTTTATGTTGTTTCTTGTCAAATTAAAATCATAGTTGTATTGTAGAAGTTGTAAGGAGTGTTATGGTATAATTATTATGATTTTTAGTGAAAGATATGGTGATTTCAAAAAATAAAATTGGGCTTTTGCTATTTTGGCCACTTTCAAGTCATTTTTTTGTAAAACTAACTTAAAAAATGGAATCTACGCGAAAAATCTGAGTTGGGGTGTGTATTTTGGAAATTTTTTTGTGAAAGGAGAAGTCGCCGGCGATCGGTGGTGGCGGCGCCGCCGGCAGCCTCCATGGCCGCTGGTTGAAGAAGCTTCAGTTGGCCAGACAAGAAGGAGAAGAAACGGAAGGGAAGAAGAAGAGAAAAGAAAGAAAGAAAAAGAAAAGAAGAGAAAAGAAAGAAAGAAAAAGAAAAGAAGAGAAAAAAAAGGTTTGGGCTAATGTTTT